ATTACTTCGCCGACGTTGGAAGCGTTAATATATTTTATACTTTAATATGCCAATGTAGGTGCTTACGCAACACAAGATAAAATAAATATGGTGGCATGTTCTGAATCTGTTTGAAATGTTGATAGCTGTCGGGATTCACTCGTTATTCCGTATGAGTGAGTCCGTGAAATGAATGAACGTTGTACAACTATTTTAAGAGCCGGTATTATTTTATGGGACGTATAGACTTTTATTTAGCTATAGCTTTACCGTTAAGTTTAATCACATGAATTGTTATTATTGTCGCCCTATTATCTAATATATTGTTACGCTGTCATTCCGTGTCAAAATGACCAAGTAAATAAATTCTGAGTCTTAGCCCAAATTAATACAAACAAAGGTCCAATAACCCGTCTTTTCAATTCATCAAAATAAACAAAGTGTTCACGGTTCATTGACGTCAGTATTTTCATATCTCGGCAACAAATATTGATCGTCTATGAGCTTGATGGCGGTCCATTAGATATCGGACGGTATCCCCGAACTATAGGTATTTCTTTTTTCAATAATCCCTCAAATGTGACAGAGGTGATGGATGGCAGGTTCGCCACCAACTACGTTTTGACTTTATTTCGCTCTATCAAAACATTTTCGATCTCAAATCTTTCAGATTGTTCACTGGATTAACTCTTTTATAGTCGATTTACTCTAAGATACTTTTTGTTCGCTGAATAACATAGCTTTGGAAGCTTTTATAACTTGTATTGAAAAGCGATCGAGGGAAAATAATTTCTAGCAAGAAGTTTGCACGTGTAAACAGCTACTTTTCGTGGAAGGTTAATTTTTATCTTTCTCATAATAGGTCGTGAAGAGGATAAACAAAAACATCTTAATATTGTTTACGATACCATTTTGTTTACATCGAAGGCGCTAAGCGTCTTCTAGTCTTACAAAAATAACTTCTTTATTTTAGTAAACATTTAGGCGTAATATATTCGTCGTCGAGAATGGTAGGAAGAAAAACACGTCTAAATATAGACACATTATGTTAACGTGGAATTAATCGAAGCAGACTAATTAGATAACACTCTATTTTAGCTTCTCTAGTTAAGTACCTCAGTACTTTAGTAATAATCTCTTAAACCTATTTATTGCGTCAGTATTACATGTTACGTTTGTTGTACATAACTAGTCTAGTACCGATGTGTCTATTCATTCATCTTTACAAGCTATTGTGTAGCAAACAAACTGTTGATTGATAGGTATAATTTTACAATTTGACTAGACCATGATGAACATGTTAAAAGGAACCTTGACAAAACTATCTAGACCAAATATACTTACCTACGTAGATAATTAGGAAACTCAAAGTTTCTAACTCTAACCAGACCGTACGCTAGAGTCCACATGAGCATATTAAAATAAATATATGTAAAACATATCAAAGCCTCAGTACCAAGTTTTAATAAGGAGCATAATTTAAAACGGCTTGGGAACGCTCCTTGCGAGCTCCATACGTGCTCACTTCACGTTTGCTAGTAATTATTCTTTGAATAACTTGAGAACCAGGTTGTGACATTTAAGAGCGATAAATTATAAACAGTAATAGCAAAGCGTCATTTTCTTTTTTCTGAAAAATCGCTTGATTACTTGTGAAGTGTTTTTATTATAGGTGTTCTGTTAATTTACGTGTTTTGATAATAGGGCTTTTGAAACAATTATTATCATCAATTAAGTACAATACAAGAGTTAGAATATAGGTTGAGAAACATCTTATAATGATCTATTTTCCGAGAAAATTCTAATGTCTTTCCAGTCACAGACTATAAACATGGCAACTAGTACGAAACTAAAATTGCTCTTAACGTCGCAAACTTGAGCAAATTCTAAAGCACACGTTCGTAAAGCGAGGCGAATAATTAAGAGTAAACGTGTAATTAAAGCCTCTATATGTTGCTAAGAATGTAGATAACACTATATAATTTATTTTGCTTAAGCAAATGGTAAACAAACGATAGTCCAAAAGAACAACAAAAAAGTAATTGCAATGAAAAACTGCACTCAAAACAAAGGCGGTAATTATTCCCAAGAGTTTTCCACAAACACCTACCGAAAGGCAGCAACATTGTTCAGCGTAATGAGCTCTAAAACAACCTTTAAACGAGGAACTGTGAGCTACGAGTCTCTCATACAGAAGCATGTAGGCACAAATGTTTGGATACCATTAAACTTTCTGTGTCAACGATGGAACGTGCTGAAGTAGATGTAGTTAAATTGAAGACACGTAGTACAAATTATTATGATTCATTCAATACAACTCAAACACCTAAGTACTTGTTTTACGCAATGGAAACATTTTGCAAGATAAGAGAATATCTCTTCTCTTTTAACGTTAAATGAAACGAGGTAGAATTGTAGAAACAGGATTGATTCGGTAAACCCAACAAAATACAAACTTTACTTTCACCAGGTGATAAAAAGGACCACCATGTTAAATTCAACAGTGGCAACATTTGAGACGAGTGTAACTGTCTCGTACGTGACGTCACGGAGCCGTGCGTGTACAAATCCCTTTACGGACGGGCAGGCGCCGGCGCACGTCCTGCCCTTCGCGAGCCATTTGTGTCCACGTGTTGGAATTTTTAATAGAACCGGAACATCGGTCGTCCGGTAAGTGAATCATCCCGAAGCTCGTACGAAATTGCATGGTCCTTTCTGCTCTCAATGTAATCTGTTTCGCTATTTTTATAGGTATCATGTTACCCTATGGGAGATATTTGACGTAATAACCAAGTTATTTCATAAAAGCTTTACATTTTTAAATGGTTTTTGTCATGAAAAACTTATATTAAGCTTAATGTGGTAAGTTAAATTCTATGTAGGTATGTTTACAGCGAGAATAGAAAATAACTTTAATATCCGGCATTTTAATACACATATTTACCACGCACTGCATACGGAGCTTTCAAACGATCTCATAAATATCAAATAACCAAGTGACCTTTTCCAAGAGGAAAAGTTTTCCTACTCCACTTCCAACTTTATAAATTATGCTCCGAATAATTGTCAATAACTTCGACCGAATTTCTGTATTCTTTCACACTACATAAACCTGATCTTTTAGGGATAAATCTAAGAAGAAACGACGAAAACGAAAGTCTTTAGAGGGATGGCACAAAAACTAAATTTTCACATAAATAATTCAGCAAGCAACATTCTCAGCAGAAAAACAAACAAAATCCCAGCAACGCAAAAGAATTATGGCCGTTATTTCTCAAATTTTGAAATAATCGTAGTACATAAGGAATAAATACATATTTTTCGTCGGCCGAGAGTCGAGAGCGATAAACAAGATTAAAATTACACGAAGAGAAATGGGTGAGCCTGGGGCATAAATCCCAAAGGAAAGCTGGAGTTGAATGGCTAGTTTATAGTACAAACAAAATGGTCAACTACAAAATACAAACAATAAAAACAATGAAACAACAACCACGTTGCGCCATGAATAACAAATGAAAGGGAAATGATACTGAAGAATGGAGCGTCATAAAAATGGGAGGACAATGGAAGGTTCAAGGTTGAAGACTTCACAGGTACTACAGAATACAGAGGAATGAGCTACATGACAAAAGATACAGCGTATAATTTACAAAGACACTCAAAGTCATAATCCTTGGTCGTAAACATGAGCTCAAACCCAATGAATTAAAACTCTTTTACAGTAAGATTTTATTACAGCCAGAGAATATACTTAATTAATTACAAATTACAGAGTTACATTATTACTAGTGATAAAACCAAGGGAAATAAAACGTCCTAAAAATATTCTTCACGGATTTCAAAGTGTCATTTCTAAATCCTTTTAGTAAAATCACATTATCATAAAGCTGTGGTTGAGGGAAAAGGTGCACAAAATAAACTTGGATACTCTGGCTTACTGGTAGGTACGTACTAAGTACGAATTAGGTTAACGGACTTACTTAATGGTAATATAATGAATACATATATGTAGGTGAGCACGAAAAACCTTTACATAGGTATTGTAGCGTTTAAAAGAAACTAATATCGTTGATATGAGATGAGAAAGTTGAAACTCAATACTGCTTGACGACCATATTTCTGGTCTAGAATGTTATGAACTCCTAAACTTTAAAGTGTTAAAATAAAGAACAATACTTTTGTCAGGTCAAAGACCGTATAGGAATTAGGAAACCCTTGCTTGGTCGGTTTTATAACAAATTCTCTGCAACCCTCGAGGCATCAGTTTATCTGGCGCGACCAGCCGTTCCCAGGCCATTGCTCTTGAGACATAAATTACCATTAACTAGACAAGTCTGGACTGAATGTTGTTTTACTTTACAAAATATTCTCTTTCAAGTTGTTTGTTTATTCGTCTCAAGAGAAAATATTTTTACATTGCAACTGAATAAGTAATTTGTTTGTTTTCACTTAATAGAAATAAGAATCGATCTTCAAACTATTTTCTCGACGTTTTTGGTTTGTCTCTAATCAATTGCTAATTGCCATCATCAACCATTTTTAAATTATCTTCAAAAGCTTTTTTGTATACACAATTTTTGGATCTCCTTTTATTAGTAGATAAATATAAACCGTAACACAAAAAAGTGTTGAGAAATTGCTAGAAATAGTGACAGCAAAACTGTTGTCTATATTTTTGCTCTTTCTACAACTTGTAAGAGCATTAGATAGAATTCCCGGAATGTCATAAGCTCTTTGGCCGGGGGTAATGTGGAGTCTTCTGCTATAAATATGTTTACGACACAATATTGGAATACGGAAGTATTTTATGAAGTTGAGGTTTTATTTTTATATGCAAGTAGGTACTTCTAATTTTATGTTTTATGGGTTTTAAAACATCGGTTAGACAAGATTTGTTCCTATTGACACAATAATCATAAACCAGATGCATGTTTCAGTGATCTAATTTACGTTTACGGAATTTCATCTTACATACATATATTTACTTTTTGGTAATTAAAGAATTCTTTTTTTAGTCTTACCTGTTTGTCCATACGCAAAGATACAAGCGTTGTATCCATCGAAGGCATTGTCGAGTATATCCCTGCCAAGACATTCGAATACTGTCTTCTGAGAGGCAAAGTGTGGCAGGGATGGGTCCAGGGAGTAGAAGCAGTGGTCGAACGCAAATGTCTTTGGTTGTTTTCTGAAAAAAAAAAAGAGAAACCATATTAATACAGGTAGACCATCACCTGATTCCTTGTTTACAGTCTTTAAAATAAACTGCATATGATTATTAACACCAATTTGCATCATCATTATCAACAACAGCCTATAAGGGCCCACTACTGAACATAGACCTCTTACACAAAGCAGCAGCAGTAAGCAGTGAAAATGGTAGAGTCTATCAGGCTTAATTTAACCATTACAATACTGTAAACATTTATAGAATAATATCAAATACTCCTAGTACTAAATGGAAACAAGAACATTGACAGTATCGTTTTAGTCACAAAAGTGTAATAAAAACTTGTGAACATGAGCACATTTAATTCCGAGGTCGTCTTTAGTTGGTAACAGTTAGATATACCTATTTTAGTCGATGTCACCTTATCGTAAACAGAAACAGTTGCGTAAATGCCCCATGGCGGGCAACGGCCACGTACGTGGGTAGTTTTAATCAAACTACGCTAATAGTGGTTGGTAAGTTTTAATTAATTACATTGCCAACCACGGGTTGCCAAACACCTGTACTGTATGTTTGTGAAAAGGGCATAATTTCATTGAAACCACATTTCCTTCTCGTAAATACATCTAGGTAAGATTTAAAAATCTAATTTTATATGAAAACGTTTTTGGTGGAAAACGTGCTTGATAGAACATTGAACGCTAGTTTCCACATGATCAATCCATACATCAATTAAAACCTTTGTCGTTGCGTTACTTCCTAATAAACAATCAAGTTATCTAGGAAATAACAAATTCAATTCGTTAGTTTTTACAAGGAAAAGAATACGATAAAGATTAAAATCTGAATAAATCGTAGACTAGAGCCAATAAAATCCGATCTCGATATGACACGAGCCAATACCCTCCTCATAATATATTTCCTAAAGTTGAATCACTTTATACCCTCTACAGCTAGACTCGAGCTGCAGAAATGTTCAACCAACTTAAGCTCCCTGAACTTATTTTCGCGATCCAATATATTCCATCCTACTCACCCGTTTGCAGATAGAAAAGGACAGAACAGGAATAAATTCCCTCAATACTTTTCGTTAGAATTGGTAACGGGTAGCGTGCCAAAAGATAATGTTATTACTTCGATTTATTGACCTAATTGTTGTTTCTTAACGACTGCGGGGTCACTGTTAATTCTACTAGATTTGTATCAGTACGCCTCATTAGTCCTGAAGCCCAATGCTAAGCTTAGTTCGTCTGTTTGTTTCGTTCAAAGATCAGTGACCTCTACGTTTTGGCGCATACGCTAATGTTAGTAACTTTGCTAATATGCTAATGTGTTCACGTTGCTCAACTTAAGCATTAACTGAAATTAGTCGCTAGGAGTCATTTGAGTTAGCCAGTAATATTATTATTTTTTATTTAAAATATGTCAGGATAATTTTCTGAGTAAAGAGAAGAAGAGTTTACTGGAGATATTCCGAAATTTGGTATGATTTGCAAAGCCTGTCTAAACCTGCATTCCCCGGTCGTTGACCCTAAGGTGCAGGCAACCTGGTGCGTGGTGGGTGGACCAACGCCATTGCGTGTTAATGGGACGTTTAACGCGTTAAACAGGGACAGCTTTATGCAGGACTAGGAAACTTAATACAGTGAGAAGTTTGTACTACTGTTTACGCTGACATTCAAAATGGCTGTAACTTAGTCATTTTCCTTGTTATGATGAGTTAAAGGCAACGACCTCATCTCTTCCACATCATAATTCTCTTTGTTTATCTGTGCGCGTAGGTAAAAGTTTCATTAGCAAAATAAGTTACCTAGACTTGTTTTATTAACACTAGATTTATTTGTTGTACTCCTAAAACTTTATTAGGGTAAGTTACCAACACAAAAGACTATTTTGACCTTAACAAGCAGTCTAAGAAATTCATTTGAACCCTTTTCACGTTCCTGAGATCCGTATTATCAAGTTTCCTTTTTGATGAGAGATGATACTTTACCAAATTCCCGATCAACTTTGTAACTTGAAACCGAATTAAAAGACGAAGGAACGGAAAGTTTTGTTAAACATTCGTTAACTGAGAGGTAATCATGATCAGTATTTTAGGAATACTTTTCGAAATCAACGAGTACTGCTCGTCTAATTTAACTTCCCTTGTCGATTCAGAAATGATATTTCCGAACTGGTAGTGGAAGTGCTATAAATAAAATATGGAAGTATTTTATTCTGTTTAGAAATTCTGTTCGCACAACAGGATTCATCAAAGCTCACGTCACTCCCGAATGCACACTGTGACGTGCAGGTGTTTATGACAGAATTCAATTTGCCGCGCTGGCGACTACGTCACACCTACGAACATACACGGGTTAGTTGCTAGTAATCAACACTGGCTGGAACACGCTTTGCCAATTTCGGCCTACTATTAACATTATGCAAGACAGGAAGCCAACGCGAAGGGAAAATTACGAAAGTCAGCAATAAACAGATCACAACTGATAACGAGATAGAAATACTTATTACTGTCTATTTGAGACCAGGGTTAGTTAATTAATTCAAACCTTCTATTGACCCTACAACCAAAATAGGTACTAAAGAAAATAAATGTACTACATCTCAAACCAAAAACCTAACGTCATCAAACGAATAAAACACTTGGACCAAAAACAAAACGTAAACTCATTTCTGCCTAAAATGGACGTAGCCTAATTTTAGTTAATTTCTGTAGATCAACTGAGATTAAATTGGCTAACGAGCATCGCTATCCATACTTAGATAGAAATCGACTGGTTTGTAGCGAGTATGGCAATAAGGCTAAGTTCTAATGATGAAAGCTTGACGGGCGTTTGATGAACGCGAGTTTACAACGTCTAATGAGGTACGCCTTTCTAGGTGAACGCCATACAAACAATCCGTAGTGTGGAATACATAGTTGTAAAGGCGCAGCAGGCGTTTGCCGTCTGAACTTTATCTGTCACTTGAAGAGCTAAGTTGTAGTTTCCACTACATGTTCGGGACTTCCAATTCCTAGAACGTCCTGATTTCGTTTGGAGGAGGGGTGTTTGATATTATAGATCGCTATTGGGAATCGACAACGTTTAAGTTCCTCTTGGGCGCTATTATATTAGAATACCAAGATGTTGCTCTGCCACTTCAAGACGTAATTTAAGACGTTTATTGAGTTAGGAATATAAACAATTTTGCAAAAAAGAAAGACAAAGTAAATACAGAATGTCTCTCAACAATTTCATTAGACAACATGTATTACACTTCTCATATTCTCACGAGATAACAGTGAACGAGAAAACTTTCAAGAGACTCCGCTTCGGAACAAGCAAGTTTAATAAAAAAAAAGTCAACCGTAAGAAAAAGCGTGGATTCCATTGCCTTGTGAGAGTCACAGATATTTTGTATTGTATCAAATCTGATCATACGTGCGATCTGAAATCAAGACTAATACACGCTGGAGCAATTTTACCAGCACTTTTCACACAGTAGGTTCTTGCTTCCTACAAAAACAAATTTATTTTGGTTAATATGGTTACGTAAATCTTGTCCTATGCGAAACTAAATACTGTCAGTTTCTAAAATAAGTTGAGATTTAGTGACGTTTTCACAATAAACAATATAAATAAAGGTAATACATAATCAAAGCGTCCTTTTACGTGATCATAAAGTTATCATACCGTTTCAGGTATTGGATTACATTATTGAGTATAACCATGGGCGAAGGTACAATCAAAACAGCAATATAAAGTCCATTAGTTCTGTATAAGGTCGAAGCCCTCCCTAACATTATGCCAATCCCCTAAAGTGCTTTTTCAGAACATGCATGAAATGGTTGTTCAATTCCATTAAACTTAACAGCTATTTTGCTTATAGTAGTTTATTTGTGCAACTGTATGTGTAGGTAGACCATGGGCGAAGTCATGTCTAAGACTAACTTTGCACAGAACTGAGAGCAGCCTGTCAGCCTACTTGCAATTCCTGTAGTACAGGAACTACAAGTCAACCGAGTGCATGTTTCCGGCAGAAGCAAGATGTCAATGTACAAGAACTTAAATTGGATGGGGGAGTTCGTTATTAAAAGTTTAAAAAATTTAAGTTTAAGGTATACTACGTTCAGTACCACACAATTTCCTGAAATTTCTTCAAATAGTATAAACCGTTTGCGAATTGGCTCGCAGTCAAATAAACCATGAGCATATCAACGAAAGCAATAATGGCGAGTGTATGTCGAAGCGGGAAGTCCGCGTGGCGGCAGGACGCCGGAAGGTTCTGCAATGTTTGCTATAAAATAACATTCTTTGGTAACAATCCAAATACTTACTCATAGGATACTCGCGGTGGAATCGCAAGACATAACGCGTCAAAAACTCAGATAAATTTTGTAACATAAGCAGTTTCTGAGGGGTTTTACGACGGCGACTTGGTTCAACGGAGTCAGCTAAGCTTAGCAAGGATTCAGGGATCATTTACGTGCAGACATAAAACACGAGTTCTAAGGTAATGAAACGTTTTTATGCTACTGGTGAAACTGCTAATCTTGGCACACCTTTTATTTAGTAAGTATTATTTTTCATAACATCCAAAATCCTATTCGCTATAAATGTTGGGAAGATTTTTATTGAAGTAAATTCCTTTTAGGTAGTCGTGATTAATTTAGTGGGAGGAAGAAAAGAATTTAGTCATCCACAGTTTTTACGTCATCATTAGTAACAGAACACAAATGTTTCGAACATAATTACTGCTTATATAAGTTTTGGCTTAAACAAGCTCCGAGAACGGAGAACAGAATAAGTATCGCACGAACTGTGAACTCATTAAGATATTTATGATAGTGCTAAAATCAGTGTTCTACGGACAAACGGCCACTATAACTTTGGTTAATCGACAGTGAGGCCAATAAACTCGTTTTCGAAGTTATAACCTAGTATCATTGCAGATTTAGCAGCATTTATGTTTTATTAATACCAGACTTTATATTTATCTGGTTGGTTCCATAAGATTTTTCTCTAATGGCTTCA